CCTGGCTGGCGCTGCGCTGGTCGGCCCTGAGGAGACTGTGGGCCTCCGGAAGAGGCACGTGGGGCGCCGGGGAGCCCGAGAAACGCGGGTTAGGCCGGCCGCCGGGGGTTTGTCAGTGTCAGCGACCGACCTGGCGTCCAGCCCTCCCGGCCCCAGAACCCGGCCCCAGCATCTCGAGCATCAGCCGGGCGCCGGTGGCCTGTCCTCCTCGCTACTCAGGAGGCTGAGATCTGAGGATCGCGGTTCAAAGCCAGCCCGGGCAGGAAAGACTGTGAGATTCTCATCAGCAATAAACCACCAGAAAACCGGAAGTGGTGCTGTGGTTCAAATGGTAGAGCTCTAGCCTTGAGCTGAAGAGGTCAGGGACAGCGCCCAGGCCCAGAGCTCAAGCCCCAGGACACACACACACACACACACTAATGTGGCATTAATTAGTTGCACCAGGAGGTTCAGGTATACATACAATATATCTTAAAGTCATAGTGTGTGTCCTGGGGCTTGGCACTGCTCTTTAGCTTTTTTACTCAAGGCTGGTGCTTTACCACTTGAGCCACAACTGCACTTCCGGCTTTTTGGTGGTTGGAGATGAGAGTCTCCAGGACTTTCCTGCCAGGGCTGGCTTCCAGCTTCCACCTTCAGATCTTAGCCTCCTGAGTAGCCAGGAATACAGGTGTGAGCCACCTGCCTTGGCAAGGGCTGACTTCCCAGCCTGGAAAAGGGCTGACTTCCCAGACTGGAAGATGTTCTAGAACACAGCTTCCAGCCCGCCTTTGCAAAACCATCAGGGTGCAGGCTGGAGCTTCCCGTTTACCTGTGAGGGCAATTGTGAATTAAATAGCTCTTCCTACCACTTCCCCCTTTTATTAGCAGAGTCCTCGGGATCCCAAGCTTTGGTCCCGCTTCAGCCCAAGCCGCCGCCGCAGAGCACCGTACAACAGAGCCAGCCCGTCCAGCAGGGGTGAGATGCTTTATGTAAGAACATTGGGTCTTTGGGAGGGAGGAGTCTTTGCAGAACTGACTTGGACGGCAGCTTGTGAAACAGCTCCTCTGGCGTGTGCCCGTGTGGGCAGGAGGCTGATGTGGTCTGTAATGGATTGCACTAGGCTTGGGATTTATGGGTTAGAGGATGGATGCCTGCTATTTCCAGCTGCAGAGTGACAGCCACACTCCGGGAAACCGAGTTTCGTAGGAGGCTGTTTATGATACTGCTGGTTGAGCTTAGTAACGAATGAACAGTGCAGTTTTCTGGACATTTTCTCAATGCACTTTCACCTAAAGCCTGATGGTTGCCTCTTCTTAAAAAAACTGGAAGGGCAGCCGGGCCCTGGTGGCTCACGCTTGTAATCCTAGTTACTCAGGAGTCTGAGATCTGAGCATCACCGTTCAAAGCCAACCCAGGTAGGAAAGTCGGCAAGACTTACCTCCAATGGACCTCCAGAAAACCGGAAGTGGAGCTGTGGCTCAAAGTGGTAGAGTGTTAGCTTTGATGGAAGAGTTCAGGGACAGTGTTCAAGCCCCATAACCGACCAGAAAACAAAACAAAAAAAAATGGAAAGGGCTAAAATTTTGAAGAAAAGTGCAATACAGAAAATACTTTTGTAGCAGAGTTAAAGGGAAACAAATGGGCATTTTTGAGTTGATGGTGCTTCAAATGTACATATGCTTTCGATTTTATCTTTTGACAACTCTACAAAACAGTATTATTTCTGTTTCAAAGATAAGGTCCGGACAGATTACTCTACCAGCTCAAGGTTGGACAGCCCCAGAGTTAGGATTTATACCTAGGTCTTTGACACTAAAATGATTTCACTCTAGCTGGGCTCTGGTAGCTCATGCCTGTAATCCTAGCTACTCAGGAGGGTGAGATCTGAGGATTGTGGCTTGAGGTCAGCCTAGGTAGGAACATCTGTGAGACTTACCTGTAATAAGCTACTAAAAAATTGAAAGTGGATCTACTGTAGTTCAAGTGGTAGAGTGCTAACCTTTAGCTCAGAGACAGCACTCAGGCCTTGAGTTCAAGCCGCAGGACTGGCACAAAAAGAAAAAAATGCACTCTACCAGATTACGTCAAAGGCTTATTTCTTCTTGCTTTCCATTTTAGTCCTCTTCTGTAACATTTTGTTTCAAGGGACAGACTATACTGATGTCTTTTACATAACTTGGTTACGATGCTATGATTTAAGAAGATTTCTAGAAAATATGGAAGAAACAGCTCCAGATTTAAAGGGCTTGCCTCTAGGCAGTAGCATGGGGTGGAAGGGGTAGGACACAGGTGCCTTGCATTTCATTATGTTTCTATGTGTTGGTACTGCTATTCCTTCCTTTCTTCCTCCCTTCTTCCCTCCCTCCCTCCCTCCTTCCCTCCTTCCTTCCTTCCTTCCTTCCTTCCTTTCCTCCCTCCTTCCTTCCTTCTTTCCTTTTCTTCCATCCTCCTTCCCTCCTTCCTTCCTTCTCTCCCTCCTTCCCTCCCTGCCTCCTTTCCTTCCTTTGTTCCTTCCCTCATTTCTTCCTTACTTCTCTGTGTGTGTGTGCTGATCCTGGGGCTTGAACGCAGGGCCTAGGTACTGTCCCTGGACTTTTGTGCTCAAGGGTAGCACTCTGCCACCTGAGCCATGGTTCCATTTCTGTCTTTTTGGTGATGAATTGGGGATAAGAATCTCACAGACTTCCCTGCCTGGTCTGGCTTTGAACTGTAATCTTCAGCTATCAGCCTCCTTAGTAGCTAAGATTACTGGTATAAGTAGCCAGTGCCCAGCCTTCTTTCTTTCCTTTTTTAACCAATGTGCAACCATCATTTTGATAAATATTGTAAGGGAGTAATTAACAAGTTAAAACCAGAGAGAGACAGAGAGACAGAGACAGGGAGAGAGAGGCAGGAGGTGGAGAAAGAGGTGCTTTCTAAATAATTACATTCCAAAGAAATAAAGTAGGAATTATTACAATTTGAAATGCATATATTATGGAAACCATGTGTGTATTCCAAGGAGAGGGGTAAAGGGAAATGTTTAAAGGCAAAATGAGGATTGTAGAAATCATTTTGGGACTATAATCTTTAGCCACAGGATTAGTAATAAAGGTGTTCAAGAACCAATAAGAAATGGAGCTCTAGCCACAGGTGCAGAGTCCTTGGAGAAGTATTGTCTGTGCCAGGTTTCAAGATCCTTGTGTGAAGTTGTGCTCTTAAGGGATTATTATAGTAGACCTTGTTACACGCCATCTGTCTACCAAAAGTCCTCCCTTCTGGCCCTCCCTCTGGCTTCATTTCCTCGGGTTGACATCAGCAACTCCGTTTTGCATGTGGCAACTTTTGCACACCTCATTAGCATTTTCGAAACAACTGGCAGAAAATCAGGAAGCGGCACTCACTTGATATAAAGTAAATACAGGCTTTATATGCTCCGCCAATGTCCAATCTCAAATCTGAAGTCATCTGTAGCACAGATTTTCCAAGAGTTGTGAGTGTTATTATTAATGATATGATTACTAAATCCCTTAGAGAGAAGCCCATAATTACCTTGGAGTCTGCAGTCAACCAGAAGAGGGTGGAGTTGAAGTCAGCACCGAAGCCTGAGAGTAAAGGCAAGTTAGAAAAGCAAGCAGATGAGGTAGGTGTACCAAGAATTAGATGGAGTGTTGTTGTTGTTTTTGGGTCCGGTCATGGGGCCTGAACTCTGGACCTGGGCTCTGTCTCTCAGCTCTTCAGCTCAAGGCTAGCGCTCTACCACTTGAGCCACAGCACCACTTCTGGATTTTTTCTTTTTGCTTATGTGGTGCTGAGGAATCGAACGCAGGGCCTCAGGCATGCAAGGCAAGCGCTCTACCACTGAGCCACCTTCCCAGCCCTAGATGGAGTGTTTTAACCTCTTGGTGACTTCTCTACTTATTTGGACGGTGTCTAAAAAAATATCCACACTTACTTAGGATATTGATTGGGTAGCATGTATTTAAGTTCTTTAAAATGTGCTAATTGATACATTGTAACGTATATACACAAGTGTGTATATGTGTGTGTGTGTGTGACTGTGAAACCATTGCCACAGTCATTATAATGAATAATAATGAGCATCTCTCTCAAGTATAAAAGTTACTGGGGCTTAAACTCAGGGCCTGAACACTGTCCCTGAGCTTTTTCACTCAAGGTTGGAGCTCTACCCACAGTTCCACTTCCAACTTTCTGGTGGTTCATTGGAGATAAGAGTCTCACAGACTTTCCTGTCCAGGCTGGCTTTGAACTATAATCCTCAGATCTCAGCCTCCTGTGTAGCTAGGATTACAGGTGTGAGCTACTAGTGCCCAGCTGAAACAAGACTCTTAATCTCTTTAATGAGTTAATAATTTGAAAAGTCATAGGTTTTTATTTCTTACTATATGATAGAAGAGGAAGGTGTACAATTCGTTTGAAAGACCAGTTTTTTTAAACGATTTTAGAGATGTCACTTATTATAACTTTATCCAACCAGTGAATTACCAGATTGAATAACTGATAAGAATTTCAGGTTCTCCTTAAAGTATATTTTCACAGAATACAGGAACAATTTCTAGCATGCTTCAGGACCATGTGTTCAAATTATATTTCCAAAAGACAGATTTGTGCTAGAGCACAGAGCAAGTTAGAAACCCTCATGAATATATATATATATATATATATATATACACATATAAAGTATATATAATTATATATATATATATATATATATATTTTTGTTGATTGTGGGGCTTGAATTCTGGGTCTAGGCGCTGTCCCTCAGCTCTTCAGCTCAAGGTGAGCGCTCTCCCACTTGAACCACAGCGCCACTTCTGGCTTTCTGGTGGTTAATTGGAGATAAGAGTTTCACAGACTTCCTTGCCCAGGCTGGCTTTGAACCCTGATTCTCAGATCTCAGCCTCTTGAGTAACTAGGATTATAGGGAAGAGCCACCAGTACTGGCCACTCATGAATATTTATAGAGCTTCCATACTGTAGCACAGAGCAAGGTTACTGTTTCTGTGAATGTTTTCAATTTAACACTTTGAAGTAGATTTTTTTTTAACAAGTGGTATGCTGCACAGAGTTACTGTTGCCTCTTTAACTGGATCGCCATTGTCCTCGATACTTTAGAAGACTCCTTTACAAAATGTTTATGATGACGTGCATCTTCTTCCTTCCTTCCTTCCTTCCTTCCTTCCTTCCTTCCTTCCTTCCTTCCCTCCCTTCTATTTTTTGTCGGTCGTGGAGTTTGAACTCGGCCTCGGCGCTGTCCCTCAGCTCTTCAGCTCAAAGTTAGCACTCTACCACTTGAGCTACAGCACCACTTCCAGTATTTTCTCTTTATGTGGTGCTGAGGAATCAAACCCAGGGCCTCATGCATGCAAGGCAAGCACTCTACCCCTGAGCCACCTTCCCAGTATGACTTGCATCTTAAAGGGTGGGCTCTGGTAACCTTATAAGAAAAAGGCAGGCCTGTAGAATTCAGCAGTTACTCCCAAAACTGAAGAGAACAAAGTAAGATGTTTTATTTTTTTGAGTGTGTATGCCACATGCTGGGGCTTGAACTCTGGGCCTTATGCTTTCACTTGGCTTTTTTTTTTGCTCAAGGCTGGTGAGCCACAACTCTTATTTCTGGCTTTTTGCTGGTTAATTGGAGATAAGAATCTCTTAGTCTTTTCTGTCCATGCTGGCTTTGAAGTTTGATCCTTAGAACTCAGTTTCCTCAATAACTAGAACTGCAGGTGTGATCCATCAGCTCCAGGCCAGAGTAAGGATTTTATTTAATACTGAAACAAGGAGTCGGGCACTGGTGGCTCAAGCCTGTAATCTTAGTTACTCAAGAGGCTGAGATCTGAGGATCTCCGTTCAAAGGCATCCTGGGCAGGAACCTCTGTGAGACTCTTACCTCCAGTAAACCACCAGAAAAAAGCTGGAAGTGGCGCTGTGGCTCAAGTGGTAGAGCACTAGCCTTGAGCTGAAGAGCTAAAGGAGAGTGCCCAGGCCCAGAGTTCAAGCCCCACGACTGATGAAAGAAAGAAAGAGCCGGGCGCTGGTGGCTCACACCTGTAATCCTAGCTACTCAGGAGGCTGAGATCTGAGGATCGCAGTTCAAAGCCAGCCCAGGCAGGAAAGACCGTGAGACTCCTATCTCCAATAAACTACCAGAAAACCGGAAGTGGCGCTGTAGCTCAAGTGGTAGAGCGCTCCTTGAGCTGAAGAGCTGAGGGACAGCGCCCAGGCCCAGAGTTCAAGCCCCACGACCGACAAAAAAAAAACAAAAAAAAAGGAAAAAAAGAAGGAAAGAAAGAAAGAAACAAACAAGAAGGAGTGTGTAGCATTGCTTCTTGGTAGTTTTGAAGTATAGCAGAGATGTGAAAGGGTTTTCTTATTCTTGCTCTCAAGGTCTTCCCAGATTGTTAAGTAGCATCATCAGCTCAACTTTTCAGACCAATAACGCACACTGTTTAATTTGATTTTCTCTATTTTAGACCCTGATAGCAAAACCTGCCTTGCACGAACTATTGTTTCTCATGTTCTGTGCTCATTTGAACCTCTCTGCATGACAGGCTTGTTTGTTTCACCTTTCTTTTTGTTCTCCCAGGTCATCTGGGTGGACCCTTTGCATCAGTTAAGTCCTATTCTCTGCATATACCCTGTAAAATACCCAGAATTAGCTGGGCGCTGGTGGCTCAGGCCTGTCATCCTAGCTACTCAGGAGGCTGAGCTGAGGATCAAAGTTCAAAGCCAGGAACCTCAGCAGAAAAGTCTGTGAGACTCTTACCTCCAGTTGACCACCAAAAAGTTGAAAGTAGAACTGTGGCTCAAATGGTAGAGCACTGGCCTTACAAAAGCTCAGGGAGAGCTCACAGGCCCTGAGTTCAAGGCCCAGGCCTGGCATCCAGACAAAATACAAAAGTGTTATTTATTGCTTTATATAACTCATGAAATGCTGCCAAGAGCAAAGATGAAATAAATGCCTCTTGAGCTCCTAGCATGCGAGGAACAGCAGCTTTTATCCTCAAATGAGGCCTTGGAGATAGCTGAACACAGATAGAGGCCCACCCCCAGCCCGCCTACATTCTCTCTTTTGCTTTCTATTCCCTGTATCCATCTGTCATTTCCAAATTCATCCCCTGATTCACTGTGTGTCAGCCATGACTGCCTCCTTTCTGTTTGTCTGTTTCCTTCCTCAGGGCCTTGTACTTTGTAGATCATCAGGTCTGCTCTTTCCTGGGTTTTCAAATCTAGCCCATGCAATGATTCCAAGGATTAGATACCTCTCCAAAGTCATCTGTGGGCAGCCCTGACCTGCGGTGTGGTTGTATTAGGTGCTAAGAAATAGTTAAGGTTAAATGAGGTCATGAGGGTGGGACTCCTAGCCGATAAGGTTAGTGGGAAGAGACCTCCTGGAATTCTTTCATTCTCTCTATCTTTACCCCCACCTGTGAAGACACTCAGAAATCACAGGTCCAACTGGCACTGGTAGCTCACACCTGTAATCCTAGCTACTCAGGAGGCTAAGATCTGAGGATCACAGTTCAAAGCCAGCCTGGGCAAGAAAGTCTGTGAGACTCTTTTTTTTTTTGGTCCGGTTGTGGGGCCTGAACTCTGGGCCTGGGCGCTGTCCTTCAGCTCTTCAGCTCAAGGCTAGCGCTCTACCACTTGAGCCACAGTGCCACTCC